CAGGGCTTTATAGGCCAAAGCCAGCTCTTTGAATTGTACCTGGAGGCTAATAACCAGCTGTGCTACAGCCCGGCCCAACCAAGCATACTTGGAAACATCCCTGGACGATCCTGGCACATTAAATAGGCCTTACGTGGAAGAATTCAGAGGAAACACACTGTACCCTCATTGCAGTAGAATGGAGCACAGGAGGGCTAAAATGAGAGCTGCTTTTTGGCTTATAACCTTTCCTTGGATGGGGTGGTGTCCAAAAATCTTGACCTCACTCCTGCACCTTAATAACCTCCAAGGGACACTTACGTAAAAGGCCTGTTCCCGCATGGAAGGCGTGTCAGGGGGACTCTGGTTGTACATGGAGAATCTCTTGTTGACCGTAGACGTCTTATTCACGGAGCTGGAGGAGGAAGGCTGGTCCTCTTTGTCGAAGGGGCTGCTCACAAAAAGGCACAGCGGTCAGTGAGAAACAATGAACTGTTGGCTGATCTAAGGCACATTCTAAAGGAAAAGCAGGACATACTTTCTTTTAACTCATTGGAGAGGGTCCCTGTTATGGATCATGTTCTGCACTTGATGGTGGTTGGTGGTGGTAGGCCTAGCAGTTGGTGATGGAAGGGTTAATGTAAATCTTAGTTCTAAAGGGTTGAGTAATCTGTGAGTAAGAGTTCATGGGTGAAAGCAATTAAGGGTGGAGGTATGCAAGATATAGGTCACAGCTGGGTGTATCTGGATATAAGGAGTTAGTCTTGGAACTGATCTTTGGGAGGAAAGTATTTGTCATATTTTGGTGGTGGATGCTGCTGGTTTTCCCCCCGGTCTCTGGATTTTCAGTATCCTGACCTGTCTCCTGAATTCTTAGAATCCTAGAACCTTGAATCTTTGGACTGGCTGTTGACTACAGGAGACTCTTGATCCCTGGATTTTGTTTATTGAATTCTTGGCGTTTGACCACTGGACTGGACCTTTGACTACGGAGTTATCTTGAACTTGCAACAGTGTTTGCTATTTTTTTGATTATTCTGTGGCCGAGTTCTATTTTTATGTTTTACATTTTGGACTATTAAAACAGCCAGAAAGTAAGTGCTGTTTTAATTAAATTCTTTGATACAAACTGGGTTTTTGTTTGGTTCATCTCTGCCTCTAAATAAGACAAAGCCCTGGCATCGTGACAGTCCCTTAGGGGAGTGGTTTCCACCTTTGCATCACCACATGCTACTCATCGATAATTTTGTCATTCCTGGCCAGAGCCATCCCAACTGCAGTCCTTCCTGGAGATGCACAAAACCCAACGTTCATGAAGACCCCAAGGAGCAGACCAAGCAGTGAGCAACTTCCTCAGAAAACAAAGCAAGGAACGTATCTTGCCTACAAAATAAGCAAGTCACTATAATACAGTGGTTCTCAACCTGGGGGTTGCGACCCCCAGGGGGGTCGTTTGGCCATTTTGGAGGGGTCGCGAGGCCACCTCCTTTGGCCCTGCCCCTCTCCTCAAAATGGCTCCCCTCAGGGCCCAGGCCCTGCCCCCCGAGCTGGGCGACCCAGGTCTGTGGAAGTCGGAGGTACTGTAGATTCCATCATCCATTGTCCAACCTCCCCAAAATATGTTGTTTCCCTGATTAATCACTATGCTTTAATTATGTTCAATTTGTAACAATGAAAATACACTTACATTACGATTCATAACAGTAGAATAATTACAGTTCTAAAGTAGCAACGAAAATAATTTTATGGTTGGGGGTCACTACAACATGAGGAACTGTATTTAGGGGTCACGGCATTAGGAAGGTTGAGAACCACTGCTATAATACAATATGGGACTGTTCCGTTATCTGGGTGGAAGCCACAAGAGGGCACTAGAGGGAGAAGGATAGTCCATTTTCAGAGGGTGGAAGGAGTACAACCATTTCTCCCAGTCTTCCTGTTATTCCTCCCACCCATGTCCCAATCGTGGAAAAAAACCTCCTTTATGTTCGGGGAGGGGAAATAACCAGAAAAAAATGGGGGGAATTGTTTCCCTCTTTCAACCCCCCCCCCCCCTTAAAATGGACTATCCTTTTCTCTCTCTAGCTCCCCCTTGTGGTCTCCAACCAGATAATAGAACAGTACCAAAAAGATTATTGATTTCTGCAATATGGTGGAGTAATTAAGAACCCAGTGCTTCATCATGTTTTGTAAGGACTTCATGTTCCTTGCATGATTTGTGAAGGAAACTGGTTGTGGATTGCTATAAGGAGACTGTGCATCTTGGTATTTGTGTGCATTGCAATCCTGAATACAGACCATCCTGGATGGTGATGGTGGGAATAATATCTGAGGATCCAAAGTTGAGAACCAAGATATCATTCATAATAGCCTTTATTTTCTTCACAGCCCTCTTTTCTTATGGCTTCAAAACAACAACAACAACAAAAACACTCAACAAGCTTCAAGTGTGGTGTAGTGGTTGCAGTACTTGTCTGGAAGTTTCAGGAAAATCCAGATTCCCTACAGAAGAAGCTTCTTGAACTAGGGGTTGGGACCCCAATGGTTGCCATAACTGTATGGGGTTTTCAGAAATATTAAAAATTAACCAGATATTTTTAATTACAAAAAATATAAGTCAAGAACTGAAAGGGTTAAATGGATGCAACGACTCAGCAAAATCTGCAGTTCAATATAAGCAGATGTGCCTGTAGCTTAGTATGCCTCAGTGTTAGTTGCCCTCAGTATGAGAGAAGCCTCGGTATGAGAAGGCCTCAGTATGAGAAGGCCCCAGTGTTAATTTGTCTCAATCTGAGAGCAGCCTCAGTGTGAGGCCTTAGTATGAGAAGGCTCCAGTGTTAGAGAGGCCTCAGTGAGAGAAAGGCCTCAGTATGAGAGAGGCTTCAGAGTTAGTAGGTCTCAATGTGTGAGAATACTGGTGTGAGAAGGCTCAGTATGAGAAGGCCTCAGTACAAGAGGGCTCCAGTGTTAATTCACCTCAGTCTGAGAGAAGCCTCAGTGTGAGAGGCCTTAGTATGAGAAGGCTCCTGTGTCAGAGAGGCCTCATTGAGAGAAAGGCCTCAGTCTGAGAGGCCTTAGAGCAGTGTTTCTCAACCTGGGGGTCGGGACCCCTTTGGGGGTCGCAAGGGGGTGTCAGAGGGGTCACCAAAGACCATCAGAAAACATAGTATTTCTGTTGGTCATGGGGGTTCTGTGTGGGAAGTTTGGCCCAATTCTACCGCTGGTGGGGTTCAGAATGCTCTTTGATTGTAGGTGAACTATAAATCCCAGCAACTACAACTCCCAAATGTCAAGATCTATTTTCCCAAAACTCCACCAGTGTTCACATTTGGGCATATTGAGTATTTGTGCCAAGTTTGGTCCAGATCCATCATTGTTTGAGTCCACAGTGCTCTCTGGATGTAGGTGAACTACAACTCCAAAAATTCAAGGTCAATGTCCACCAGACCCTCCCAGTATTTTCTCTTGGTCATGGGAGTTCTGTATGCCAAGTTTGGTTCAATTCCATTGTTGGTGAACTTCAGAATACTCTTTGATTGTAGGTGAACTATAAATCCCAACAACTACAACTCCCAAAATCAATCCCCCCAACCCCACCAGTATTCACATTTGGGCGTATCAGGTATTTGGGCCAAATTTGGTCCAGTGAATGAAAATCCGCCCTGCATATCAGATATTTACATTACGATTCATAACAGTAGCAAAATGACAGTTATGAAGTAGCAACGAAAATAATGTTATGGTTGGGGGTCACCACAACATGAGGAACTGTACTAAGGGGTCGCGGCATTAGGAAGGTTGAGAAACACTGCCTTAGAGAGAGGCTTCAGAGTTAGTAGGACTCAATGTGTGAGAGGACTGGTGAGAAGGATCAGTATGAGAAGGCCTCAGTACAAGAGGGCTCCAGTGTTAATTCACCTCAGTCTGAGAGAAGCCTCAGTGTGAGAGGCCTTAGTATGAGAAGGCTCCAGTGTTAGAGAGGCCTCAGTGAGAGAAAGGCCTCAGTTTGAGAGAGGCCTCAGTTGAGGTAAACCTCAGTGAGAGGCCTCAGTGTAAGAAGACCTGGTGTGACAAGCTTCAGTGAGAGAAGCCCTAGGTTGAAGACATTGTGTGTGAAGCTCCTGTGTCTGAGAGAAATGAAGCCTATAACACAGTGCACTGAGAGGCCGCTGTCCAGTTGGACAAGGCTTCCACAGGTTTGAGAGGCCTCAGCTAGAGAAGAAAGGCCTCAGTTGAGAGAGGGCTTCAGAAGTTATGTAGGCCTACAATGTGGTGAGAGGACGAGTGGGTGAGCAAGACCTTCAGTATGAGAAGAAGCCCAGTACAAGAGGGCTCCAGTGTTAATTTGCCTCAGTCTGAGAGAAGCCTCAGTGTGAGAGGCCTTAGTATGAGAAGGCTCCAGTGTTAGAGAGGCCTCAGTGAGAGAAAGGCCTCAGTCTGAGAGAGGCTTCAGAGTTAGTAGGCCTCAATGTGTGAGAGGACTGGTGTGAGAAGGCTCAGTATGAGAAGGCTCCTGTGTCAGAGAGGCCTCAGTGAGAGAAAGGCTTCAGAGTTAGTAGGCCTTGATGTGTGAGAGGTCTGGTGTGAGAAAGCTTTGGTAAGAGAAGCCTCAGGTTGAAGACCTTGTGTGTAAAGCTCCAGTGTGAAGGCTGCTGTGTGTAAAAGGCTACTGCGTGAAGCTCCTGTGTAAGTTTGGTGTGAGAGAAACCTCAGTGAGAGTGAAGCTGTTTATCTGCATGAGAAAGCAGCCCAGCATGGAAGCAAAGAAGGAAGTATAAAGAACTTGTTCTTGTAAATAGTACAACCATATTATTTTGGTATAAAGAAAAGCCTCTGAAGGAAGAGATCACATTGGCCTGTGTGTTTTTGTTGTTTTTATCATTTAGGGCTACTGGTGCTGGGTCACGCTGCTGCTCATAAGTTACTCTGCTGTGCACTTATGGGGAGGGTCTTTCGTTAAGAAGCCCACTTGCTCAACAAGGGTCACCTTGCTTTCTCTCCCGTAGATGCATCTCTCTCTGCTTTTGCTCTCTTTCTCTCAGGTACTTGTGTGTGTGTGTGTTTGTGTGTCCCCTTCCTTGGGATGTTGTAAATATTTTTCAGGTAAAGGGGGGGGGGGTCGCAAGTTGAAACAGGGGAAGAAGGTCTGCCCTAGAGAGCCATGAGACCCTCTGGGTGGCCTCTGGCAAGCCTCTGCTCTCAGTATGGCTTCCAGCACAGGATTGCCACAAGGAAGAGAGCGGGCAGCAGGAAAACACTGCCTCGATCTCACGTGGGGAAAATAAATGACTACTCACTTCCAGTTCACCTCCAGGCTCAGCTTAATGGTGCCTAAGTCATTGATGTCCACTGCCACGACTTGGGGGAGCGCCGCAAACAGGTCCTTGGTCTCGCAGGAGACATTCCCCACCACAACGTGACTGGCCAAGCTCTTCAGCTCTGTGACCTGCGACAAGAAGGAGAAACCAGGGCCAGTGGACGTGAGAAGGAACACATCCCTCTGGTGAAGGTGGCCTCCTCGCCAGAGCGTGGCTTCAATTACCTTGATAGACAGGAACTCTGTGATGAGAGGCAGGAAGACCACCTCCTCACTATCCCACACTTGCTTGCTGTTGGCCTCAATGCGGCCTCGTAGCTTCCATCGTTGGCGTCCGTATCTCATGAAGATCTGTCAGGAGAAAGTACGTGTCTTGAGTTGCCCTCCAAAAACAGCCTTTAGACAATGTCGAAAGTAAAAGAAAAATGCTTTACTTCAGCAAACATAAAGGATAAGCAAATGCAACTTAAATATACAAAAGAAAACAAGGAAGTCTTAATGCAGACTCAAATTAAAGCCTCTTACAAAGTCCCAAAAGAAACAGCAGTCTTCCATCAGACAACGGGCAATGATCACACAAAGCAGGTTCAATTGGCGTGAAAACCTCGGCATCAGAGTCGTCGTCACCAGAGAAAGCTGACTGCTCCTGCTTCTGATTTATAGCCCTGAATTCCCCACACAGGAGGTGCTAGGGCATCTCCCAATTAGCTCAATGTTTTTAGCAGCTATTCTGGCTGAATGCCGTCTGTGCTATGTCCCCTTTCGTCTCTCTAGAAATGTGGGGTGCTAGGGCATCTCCCAATTAGCTCAATGTTTTTAGCAGCTATTCCGGCTGAATGCCGTCTGTGCTATGTCTCCTTTCTTTTCTCTAGAAATGTGGGCACTTGCAAACCCTCACCGTCTGATTCTTCTTCTCCCTCCAATTCCTGACCACTTCCCTGCTCCCCTTCCTCTTCTGAAGATGAGGAATCCCCAACAGTACGACAATGACACTATAGACTGGACGGACTCCAGCTAGATGGGCCTCATCCTCAGGCATTCAGCCAGAGCAACCACTCCATGTGTGTCTCCATGTGGGAGAAGAGACCCATAACAGCCTAACATTATCCATGGGGACCCCCAATAAGTTCAGGTACCACAAGTGGGAGGGTCCCCTAACATTATCCGTGGGGACCCCCAATAAGTTCAGATACCACAAGTGGGAGGGTCCCCTAACATTATCCATGGGGACCCCCAATAAGCTCAGGTACCACAAGTGGGAGGGTCCCCTAACATTATCCGTGGGGACCCCCCAATAAATTCAGGTACCGGCCAAGCCCATGCACCTCCCTTGATCCCCCCAAACTCTGGGACCAAAGTCCCCTGCCTTTCCCCAAACACAAAGCGAAACGCTGCGAACCCATCACAAACCTCGTATTGGTCCCCAGCACACAGTCGAGCAAAGCCAGCCAACCCTGCAGCGGAAACAAAAGTCAGTGGAGGGGCCTTTTGCATGAACTGCCGGATCTACCTTGAACTTCACTGATGTGGATACAGGACGGGAAGCGGGAGAGAACCAGAAGTCCCCAAGGCAAGCTTCACCTGGGTGGTTTCAGGTGCAGGAGGGAAACATGCTTGGTTGGGGACTTCATAAGAAGGATAGGGACCATTATATGCTAATCAAGGTGGTCAGTTGAAACATTCCCACCTAGCTCCAGCAGACAAGAGTCCTTTGTCCCACCCTGGTCATTCCACAGATATATAAACCCAATTTTCCTCGTTCCAACAGACCTCACTACCTCTGACAATGCTTGCCATAGATGCAGGCGAAACGTCAGGAGAAAATGCTTCTAGAACATGGCCATATAGCCCGGAAAAACCTACAACAACCCAGGATAGGGAGTAAAAGGAATCAGCAGCCTCCTCCCCGTTCCCCGTCTCTTTCCCCTTTTCCCTGCTTCAAATTGGTCCTTTTGAAAGCGGGGACCAAAGGACCACGCGTTCCCTTGCGACGGGGTACCTTTCATCTTGATGTGGAACTCTCCCAACTGGCTCTCCAGCTCACTTTCCAGGAGACACATATTCTGAAAGGAGAGGAGCCTGTGAGTGACCCCGGCCAAGAAGGCTCCCCTCCCTCCCCACGGCCTCTCCTCGGCCCCCCGGACCCACCTCCGTGTACTCCTTGTAACCCTTCCCCGCTTCGGCCAAGCTCTCCCGGGCTTCCTTGCTGCCAGGCGATCCGGCGGTGTAGGCCTTCACCATGTTATGCGCTCCATCCCGAAGCCTTCGCTGGATGCAGTAAGCCTCGTAGAGCTCGTCAATCTGTTCAAAAGAGGCCCAGAGAGCTTTAGCTGAATGCCAATGGCCGAAGACCTGGAGCATCTGAAGCATTCAGTAGGGCAGGAATCCCACTGGAGCATTGCAGCGCACCCAAATCCCTGGGAGGAGTCACCCTGGACCGTGCTCTGACCTACAAGAAGCACTGCCTGAACATCAAGCAAAATGTGGGCGCTAGAAACAATATCATACGAAAGCTGACCGGCACAACCTGGGGATCACAACCAGACACAGTGAAGACATCTGCCCTTGTGCTGTGCTACTCTGCTGCTGAGTATACAAGCCCAGTGTGGAACACATCTCACCACACTAAAACAGTGGATGTGGCTCTGAATGAGATATGGAGTGTCTGCGCCCTACACCACTGGAGAAATGACACTGCTTAGCCGGTATTGCACCACCTGACATCCGCCGGGAAGTAGCAGCCAATAGTGAAAGGACCAAGGCAGAGACATCTCCAGCCCATCCTTGTTTGGGTCTCAGCCAGCATGCCAATGACTTAAATCAATAAATAGTTTTCTAAGATCTACAGAGACACTCGCTGGAACACCTCAGCAAGCAAGAGTCCAAAAGTGGCAGGCTCAAACCCAGAATTTGATACCAAATGAGAGACTCCCCCCTGGGCACACAGAAGACGGGGCAACTTGGAAGGCACTGAACAGACTGTGCTCTGGCACCACCACATGCAGAGCCAACCTCAAGAAATGGGGCATCAAAGTGGAATCCACGACACGCGAGTGTGTAGGAGAGCAAACCACTGACCACCTGCTGCAATGCAACCTGAGCCCTTCTTCCACATGATGCACAAGGGAGGACCTCCTTGCGGCAACACCAGAGGCACTCCAAGGGGCCAGAGACTGGTCAAGGGACATTTAATCAACTACCAAACTCACAAATTTTGTGTTTTGTCTGTTTGTTTGTTTGTTCTGTCAAAAATGTAATACAACTGTTTGGTTCCCTGACATGATAAATAAATAGTAGGGCAGAGCTTTCCAAACAGTGCTTGCTTGCAGTCCCTAGGTGTGTCCCATGTATCATGCGTCCCAGCACGAACAAAGGCTGCCTGACCGGTCCTCAAACAGACCGGCCCCCAGCCTCAGTTGGAAAGGACTCCCGGGCAGGCTGCCATTCACTGGAGTTGGAAGAGATCCCCAAAGGGCATCTGGCAGGGACACCGCCCGGGAAGGCCATTCAGCCTCCGCTCAAAAACTTCCACTAGAGAAGAATAAAATAATATATGTAATAGCAACAATAATAAAGTAAAATAATACATGTAATAATAGCAATAATAATAAATAGAGAGAAAAAATAAATGTAATAACAATAATAATAATAATAGTTAGAGTAAAATAATAAATGTAATAACAACAATAATAGAGTAAAATAATAAATGTATAACAACAATAATAACAGAGTAAAATAATACATGTAATAACAGCAATAATAAAGTAAAATAATACATGTAATAATAGCCATAATAAATAGAGTAAAATAATAAATGTAATAACAACAATAATAATAAATAGAGAAAAATAATAATAATAAATAGAGTAAAATAATAATTGTAATAACAACAATAATAACAGAGTAAAATAATATATGTAATAGCAACAATAATAAAGTAAAATAATACATGTAATAATAGCAATAATAATAAATAGAGAGAAAAAATAAATGTAATAACAATAATAATAATAATAGTTAGAGTAAAATAATAAATGTAATAACAATAATAGAGTAAAATAATAAATGTATAACAACAATAATAACAGAGTAAAATAATACATGTAATAACAGCAATAATAAAGTAAAATAATACATGTAATAATAGCCATAATAAATAGAGTAAAATAATAATAATAAATAGAGTAAAATAATAATTGTAATAACAACAATAATAACAGAGTAAAATAATATATGTAATAGCAACAATAATAAAGTAAAATAATACATGTAATAATAGCAGTAATAATAAATAGAGAGAAAAAATAAATGTAATAACAATAATAATAATAGTTAGAGTAAAATAATAAATGTAATAACAACAATAATAGAGTAAAATAATAAATGTATAACAACAATAATAACAGAGTAAAATAATACATGTAATAACAGCAATAATAAAGTAAAATAATACATGTAATAATAGCAATAATAAATAGAGTAAAATAATAAATGTAATAACAACAATAATAATAAATAGAGAAAAATAATAATAATAAATAGAGTAAAATAATAATTGTAATAACAACAATAATAATAAATAGAGAAAAATAATAATAATAATAAATAGAGTAAAATAATAATTGTAATAACAACAATAATAACAGAGTAAAATAATATATGTAATAGCAACAATAATAAAGTAAAATAATACATGTAATAATAGCAATAATAATAAATAGAGAGAAAAAATAAATGTAATAACAATAATAATAATAATTAGAGTAAAATAATAAATGTAATAACAACAATAATAGAGTAAAATAATAAATGTAATAACAATAATAGAGTAAAATCATAAATGTGTAACAACAATAATAACAGAGTAAAATAATACATGTAATAATAACAATAATAACAGAGTAAAAATACATGTAATAACAGCAATAATAAAGTAAAATAATACATGTAATAACAGCAATAATAAAGTAAAATAATACATGTAATAATAGCCATAATAAATAGAGTAAAATAATAAATGTAATAACAACAATAATAATAAATAGAGAAAAATAATAAATTTAATAATAACAATAAATAGAGTAAAATTATAAAGATAATAATAATAAATAGAGTAAAGTAATAAATGTAATAAAAATAATGATAATAACAGAGTAAAATAATAAATAACTTTGACTCAAGTATAAACCAAGCGGGGGGCTTGGCTCAAAAACCCGGCTTATACTCCAGTATATACGGTATATAAATTGCAAAAGGCTCCAAAGCATGCAACTTTTCTGGGTGCAGAAATCCTTGCAATGGGCCAAAATTGGGAAGCAGCACATACCTTGCTAGCGTGAAATTCCAGGCGGCGTACAAATCGCTCGATGGACTTGACTTGCTGTGAAAGCATGAAACAAAGGAACGTTGTTAGACCAAAAGCGCACTCCAATTGGGAAAAAGAAGTTCGGGGCCTTCTGGGTTCTCCATTTGCCTATTCAAAAGAAAGTTGTCTAAACTCCCTTTGAGCAGGCGGCCGAGGTTTGCCCCCGTTCTCACAGGCTGACCAGGCTCTTCTGCTGACCTGGTTGGAAAGGAAAAGGCTTAAATCTGAATCTTCATTGGCATACGGACAAGATTTAAACCAGGGAACTACAATATAGACCCATCTATCTATATAAATAAAAATGTAATGTTCGTTTGTGGGATTCACAGAATTCAAAAACCACTGGACGAATTGACACCAAATTTGGACACAAGACACCTAACAACCCAATGTATGTCCTTCACTCCAAAAAAATTGATTTTATCTTTTGGGAGTTGTAGTTGCTGGGATTTATAGTTCACCTACAATCAAAGAGCATTCTGAACCCCACCAACGATAGCATTGGGCCAAACTTGGCACACAGTTCTCCCATGACAACAGAAAATACTGAAAGGGTTTGGTGGACATCGACCTTGAGTTTTGGAGTTGTAGTTCACCTACATCCAGAGATCACTGTGGACTCAAACAATGATGGATCTGGACCAAACTCTACATGAATACTCAATAGGCCTTGACATTTGGGAGTTGTAGTTGTTGGGATTTATAGTTCACCTACAATAGAAAAGCATTCTGAACTCCACCAACGATGGAATTGAACCAAACTTGGCAGACAGGGCTCCCAAGACCAACATAAAACACTGAAAGGGTTTGGTGGACATTGACCAAGGTCAGATTTGAAACTGTTTTGGAGTTGTAGTTCACCTACATCCAGAGATCACTGTGGACTCAAACAATGATGGATCTGGACCAAACTCTACACGAATACTCAATATTCCCAAATGTGAACACTGGTGGAGTTTGGGGGAAATAGCATATTGACATTTGGGAGTTGTAATTGCTGGGATTTGTAGTTCACCTACAATCACAGAGCATTCTGATCCTCACCAACGATAGAATTGGGCCAAACCTTCCACACAGAACCCCCATGTGGGCCACAGCAACACATGGCAGGGGACTGCTAGTACACATAATAAAAGTGAACATATGTATGTGTGTGTGATTGGCTGGGGTGCCCACTCACACAGACAGGTTCCCACTTCCACAAATAGCTCTACCTCTCACGACTCAGGAGACACCAACGGCCCTCCCTCCGATGACATTGCAGGTTATAGAGAGTGTTGTAAACATGTCCAAGAGCCTTGCCCATGTCCTCCACCAACACCACATGCCCACCTCCCAAGTGAAGACTTTCATACAGGGACAATTCCATCCTAGATTATATGTGTGCCCTCCACTACAGACATCCCAGTGTTTTTGAGACTCCAACTGGAGAGGGGAGAGCAGGCGTGCTCGGCACATAGCAGCGTGGTGCACATGCGTGGACGAGGCAGGGCGCATGAGGCTGGAGGGAGGCTTGTGCCAGTGAACCAAGGTCAACTACAACTCCCAAATGAGAAAATAAATCCCTCCAACCCCACCAGTATTCAAATTTGACAGGTATTTGTACCAAATCTGGTCCAGATGAGAGTGGGTTCCAGGGTCCAGAAGCTCAGTGTTGGGCATGGAGCCGCCGCAGGAGAGAGCAGAGAGTCCCACCAATTCCACCCAAGAGCAGCCCCCTACTTCCCTTTCATCACCCCTTACCTTGTCGAGGTCATAAAGAAAGCCCTAGAAAGGAAAGAAACGGGAGGGTGAGTACCAGGTAGGGCTCAGAAACAGCAAAAGAGGAAGACCCGCACGGTGCCGTCTTGCAAGTGACCAACGGTTTCCGAGTCCCAATCGTGCAAGGGCCAAGTTCACTGCGTGTTGGAGGAATGGCAGAATGGGACGTGCCCACAATGATAGTAGTAGTAATTGTATTGATTAGCCCTTAGGCCAAATCACAATAAGAAACAGAACAACAAGGCCTGACAAGACCTGATCACACTCCACGTAGAAAGTTAAAATAAGACACACTTATAATAATACAGTAAATACATATGATAAGACATGATAAAACTGATAAACTGATCAAGCTGAGTGTATACATCATAGAATCATAGAATCAAAGAGTTGGAAGAGACCTCATGGGCCATCCAGTCCAACCCCATTCTGCCAAGAAGCAGGAATATTGCATTCAAAGCACCCCTGACAGATGGCCATCCAGCCTCTGTTTAAAAGCTTCCAAAGAAGGAGCCTCCACCACACTCCCTCCGGGGCAGAGAGTTCCACTGCTGAACGGCTCTCACAGTCAGGAAGTTCTTCCTCATGTTCAGATGGAATCTCCTCTCTTGTAGTTTGAAGCCATTGTTCCCTTGCGTCCTAGTCTCCAAGGTAGCAGAAAGGAAGCTCGCTCGCTCCTCCTCCCTGTGGCTTCCTCTCACATATTTATACATGGCTATCATCATGTCTCCTCTCAGCCTTCTCTTCTTCAGGCTAAACATGCCCAGTTCCCTAAGCCGCTCCTCATAGGGCTTGTTCTCCAGACCCTTGATCATTTTAGTCGCCCTCCTCTGGACACACTCCAGCTTGTCAATATCTCTCTTGAATTGTGGTGCCCAGAATTGGACACAATATTCCAGATGTGGTCTAACCAAAGCAGAATTGAGCATGGGGAGCATTACTTCCTTAGATCTAGACACTAGGCTCCTCTTGATGCAGGCCAACATCCCATTGGCTTTTTTTGCTGCCACATCACATTGTTGGCTCATGTTTAACTTGTTGTCCACGAGGACTCCAAGATCTTTTTCACATGTACTGCTCTCGAGCCAGGCATCATCCCCCATTCTGTATCTTTGCATTGCATTTTTTCTGCCAAAGTGGAGTATCTTGCATTTGTCACTGTTGAACTTCATTTTGTTAGTTCAAAATTTTATCATGATAAGACATGATAAAACTGATAAACTGATCAAGCTGAGTATATACACATCATATTTCCTCATCACCCTTACAATTTACCCCAATCAGCCCCACATATGTGGTTCTCAGACGTATTGTTTTGCTTAGGTACAGAGCTGTTTTATATGTTATCTCTGGGTCTTGGCCACACATAAAATATGTTGTTCTGATGTGAGATTCCCAATACATCGTCCGTTTGATATATGGACCAAGGTGGAAGTCTCTCACCTTTTGATGATACAATTTGCAATCAAACAATATGTGTGCTATATACTCAATTTCGAGTGCCCCGCAGATACAACTCCGTTCATTATAAGGCAGTGATGGACAACCTTTTGAGCTTGGTGTGTCAAAATTTGCCAAAAACCAGAGCATAACTTGGGTGGGGTGTCAGCTTTGAGAAAAAAACCCCATAATTTTGCAATATTTATAGTTTAAATAAGAAAAATGTATATTCCATGCTGAGTTATGGAGTGAACAATGCTCAAATATACAATTTGTTGAGACTTTTACAAATTTAAGGATGGAATTACATTGGTTCTTATAAGGTATGCAGCCGCATGTGGCCACGTGTCATCAAAAGTAGCCATGCGTGTCAGTGCTGACACGCATGTCATAGGTTCACCATCATGGTTATAAGGGATGCTGTTAAGTCTCCCGTATCTAACCATTGTCTCGAGCTGATCCCATCTGGCTCGAGTGAATACCTCCCTGAGATGTTTTGGTATTTGCATTTTGAGGTAGTTAGCCGTTTGAAAGGTATGTTTATATGGACTCAGCCATTTTAGCAGTCCTACTGAGAGTGGCTGTATCTTTTTGTGCTTCTATATCCAAAATTCTTTGTATAGCACCCTTTCTGACTTGGTCATTTGAGGCGCAGGAGGCAAGAAGCCCACAACTTCTTATATGATTTGTCAGTTGTGTAATCCAGGAGGTCACGTGCCCACAACGACAAATATCTTGCTGGGGCAGACACTATTGCTGAGACGTGTGTCAACAGAAGGACAGGATCCTGATTCCCAATATCGGTTCCTGGAGATACCTGTGTCATTCTGCCAGCTCTTCTCACCAGGAAGCGCCTACTCCCGTGATGGTGAACCTATGACACACGTGTCAGCACTGACACGCATGGCTATCTTTGATGACACGCAGACACATGCGGCCACATACAGAGAAGTACACCTTATAAGAGCCAATCTAATTGCATCCTTCAATTTGCAAAAGGCTCTACACATTTAACATCTACACATTTGAGCATTGTTCACTCTATAACTCAGCATGGATTACGCATTTTTCTTATTTAAACTATAAATATTGCAAAATTATGTTTGTTTTTCTTCTCAAAGTGACACTCCACCCAAGTTATGCTCAGGTTTTGGGAAAATTCTGAGACACCAAGCTCAAAAGGTTGCCCATCACTGGCCTACTCTCTACAAGTGTGCAAGCACTCCCCGAGATACAAACACTGGACTTACACACAAGTCCTAGTTGCAAACATTGTAAAAAGTGGGGCTTTTGCAAGATTTGAAACTGTTTTAAGTATTTAAATGCACAGGTAAAGATAAATAATATGTCAAGACCAACACGTGCCATAGTTGCATTTAAATTAAATTTGAAGCAAATATGATTTGTAGTCCGGTTAGTATGGTGTGGGGTTAGAGCAGCCGTGGGACAACTTGGGCACCCCCTCCCTCCCTCCAGGTGTTTTGGACTCCAACTCCCAACACTCCTAACTGTTACTATCACACAACACAAGATGGAAAAGTACTGGAATGTAACCTTCCGTAGTATCTCCTCATCTAATTCAGGCCCCATCTACACTGCCATATAAAATCCAGATTATCTGCTTTGAGCCGGGTTATAGGGCACTGTAGAACAGGTATATGCAAATTTTGGCCCTTCAGGTGTTTTGGAGTTCAACTCCTACCATACCTAACAGTCTCAGGTCCCTTCCTTTCCCCCCTCAGCCAATTAATCTGAGCGCTGGGCCCATAACCAACGTCAGGTTCTGCTGTGTGTTTGTTGTGTCCTCTGTGTGTGTTTGTTTTGAAGGCGAGGCTAGGTACTTCAGCCAGCACCAACTGGAATTGCTGAAGCTCATTCACCCTACTGCTGGCACTAGAACAGGCATGAGCAAACTTGGACCCTCCCTTCCTCCCTCCAGGTGTTGTGGACTCCAACTCCCACCATTCCCCCTCATCCGCTAAAGCCGAGTGCTGGGCCCATAACCAACGTCAGGTTCTTTTGCTGGTGCGGAGTGCAAGGAAGCTTCCTCTACAGCAGGCCTGGGCCAACTTTGGCCCTCTCTCCCTCCAGATGTTTTGGACTCCAACTCCCACCATTCCTCACAGCCTCAGGCCCCTTCCTTGTTTTGAAGGCGAGGCTAGGTACTTCACCCAGCAGCAACTGGAATTGCTGAAGCTCATTCACTCTACTGCTGGCAATAGAACAGGCATGATCAAACTTGGGCCCTCCCTCCCTCCAGGTGTTGTGGACTCCAACTCCCACCATTCCTAACAGCCTCAGGCCCCTTCCTTTTCCCCGTCAGCCACTTAAGCCGAGTTTTGGGCCCCATAACCAAAGTCAGGTTCTGTGGCCTGTGCGGAGTGCAAGAAAGCTTCCTCTACAGTAGGTATAGACCACCTTCAACTCTCCAGGTGTTTTGGACTCCGACTCCCACCATTCCCCACAGGCCCCTTCCTTTTCCCCCTCAGCTGCTTAAGCCGAATGATGGGCCCATAAGCAACATTAGGCTGTGTTGCCTGGGCGGAGTGCAAGGAAGCTTCCTCTACACCAGGTCTGGATAAAACTTGGGCCCTCCCTCCAGGTGTTTTGGACTCCAACTCCCACCATTCCTAACACTATCACACAACACAAGATGTAAAACTACTGTAATGTAACCTTCTGTAGTATCTCCTCATCTAATTCAGGCCCCATCTACACTGCCATATAAAACCCAGATTATCCGCTTTGAGCCGGGTTATAGGGCAGTGTAGACCAGGTATATGCAAATTTTGGCCCTTCAGGTGTTTTGGAGTTCAACTCCCACCATTCCTCACAGCCTCAGGCCCCTTCCTTTCCCCCCTCAGCCGCTTAAGCTGAGTGCTGGGCCCATAAYCAATGTCAGGTTCTGTTGCCTGTGCAGAGTGCAAGAAAGATTCCTCTACAGTAGGTATAGACCACCTTCAGCTCTCCAGGTGTTTTGGACTCCGACTCCCACCATTCCTCACAACCTCAGGCCCCTTCCTTTTCCCCCTCCGCCGCTTAAGCTGAGTGCTGGGCCCATAACCAATGTCAGGTTCTGTTGCCTGTGCGGCTGAGCGGCTGAGGGGGAAAAGGAAAGGGTCTGAGGCTGTGAGGAATGGTGGGAGTCGGAGTCCAAAACACCTGGATTGAGGACCCAAGTTGGCCCACACCTGCTCTAGATCCTCCTCGGCTGCTTAAGGAAGTAAATTAATTCCTTCCAAAGAGGATACAGATAGATGTGAAATTCTCCCCATGGCTCCAACGTCTGCGTTGGGTATGAACCTTCCACTCACTCACCAAGCGGGAATTCCTCTTGGACTCACGGATCTGGGTGGTCAGCTTCTCCAGCTCCAGCTGGTGTACTTCCAGGTAAGCTCTATGAGGAGAGAAATGGTGCTGAACATACACGGAGCAACACTTTTCCCAACTGTGGAGATGAGGGCAGGAAGGCAGCCTTCCATTCCTCTATTCAAGATGCTCCAGAGTCCATGGGAGCTGCCAGCTCCATTCTCCAGCTTGCAACTCTCAGTGGAATTGCATCCGGACAAGACTGGGATTTACAAGCTGGACAGAAGAAACCACTTACAGACAGACTGAATTTTAGGCAATTCTCACACACCAACCAGTGATCCAATATCCATCTCTGTGTGTGTGTGTGTGCGCGTGTATCTACACTGCCATATAATCCAGTCCTAAGTAGGTAATCTGGATTTTACACGGCAATGTGGAAGGTTTGACTTTGGGTGCATCTACACTGTAGATTTAATAATGGAGGATGAAGCTGGTGAGGAGAGGAGAAAAAAGGAAAGAAAGGGAGGAAGGGAAGGAGAAGGAAGGGAAGTAGAGAAAGGGAAGGAGGGGGTTGGATCGGATGGCCTTTAGGGCCCCCTTCCAACTGGTTGGCCATCTGTTGTGAGGGCTTTGATGGTGTCTTCCTGTACTGCCAAATGAGGTTGGGCTGGATGGTCTTTGGGGCTCCTTTTATTTATTTTATTTATTTATTGCATTTGTTGACCGCCGTTCTCAGCCCCTTAGGGCGACTCACGGCGGTGTACAACATATAAAAACAGTTTACAATACATATAATTAAACTAAATCATCCGCGTCGTCTCAACATAGAATCATAAGCCAATCTCATAGTCCATATTCTGTTCCAGTCGTCATTGCCAATTTTTTATAGCATTTAGTTAAACGCCTTTTCGAATAGCCATGTTTTTAGGCTCTTATGGAATGCCATAAGTGAGGGCGCCTGTCTGATGTCAACAGGGAGGGTGCTCCAAAGCCGGGGGGCCACCACTGAGAAGGTCCTTTCCAAACAATGTCAGTTTTGTGTGTCCCTATGACCCCCATCATGGCACCTTCCTCTTTCCCTTGTGCTGTGGGAGTGTGTGTGTGGGAGACAGAGAGTCAGAGTGTGTGCACAGAGTGTGGCCCACCTCCCTCTTTTTTCCTCCCCCCCCCTCTCCTCCCCCTCCTTCTTCTCCTTAGCCTCTGCCCTTTGATCCCTTGTCTTAGTGTTAGTTAGGGGCCGAGAGACATGCAGGGAGCAGCAACCATTTGCCGCTGCTTCGGGATCCTCATTCTGTGTCCTCAGCGCAAGGGGGGGGGAGGTGTGTTGTCTTCTTCCTTTTTTGAATTTAAAGGTGTTTTTGTGGGGGTTTTTTTCAGTGATGGTCACTCCTTGGATTGTGAGGAGTTTTGTTGCCAAATTTGTGAGGAGTTTTGTTGCCGATTAGCTTCCGTGCACAATTCAAAGTGCTGGTTTTGACCTATAAAGCCCTAAACGACTCCGGCCCAGTCTACCTGTCCAAACGGATTCTCCCCTATGAACCATCAAGGCTATTAAGATCTTCCGGGGGGGGGGGGGGCTGCTCTCGGTCCCACCACCCTCGCAATCATGGTTGGTGGGGACGAGGGACAGGGCCTTCTCGGTGGTGGCTCCCCGGCTTTGGAACTCCCTCCCACTAGAGATCAGATCTGCTCCCTCCCTCCTGACGTTCAGGAAACTACTAAAGATCTGGCTCTGGAATGTGGCATTCGAGGAATGAACCTATAACCTCCTTCCTTGTGCTGAACTGTGATGAATTGTGAATACGAGTATGACTATGACCATGACTGGATTGACAACTTGGCTTACGTAATTGCGATGATGATGTTTTATTGTACTTTATTGTACCATTTTAATATGTAATGACTTTGCACTTTGTTATACTTATATATTATTGTGCTTTCATATATGCTGTAAACCGACCTGAGTCCCTCGTTGAGGTGAGAAGGCAGGTGTAGAAAACTTCTAAATAAATAATAAATAAATAAATTTCAGGTCATTTGGCTCCGTAGTTTTTTTGTTTTGAAGGTACTCATTATGCACAGAGCATTTTTATATATACAGAAGATGCGGATGTTTTTAACAGTATTTTATGATTGTTTTACTTGTTATCATTGTTGTGGCATCAAATTGTTGCCATTAGTGAACTGTTCCAAGTTGCCTCTGGGCTGAGAGGGTGCGGTATATAAACATGGTCACTAAATAAATAAACAAACAAACAAACAGTGCTTGTGTTACTTGTTCTGGGATCTATTTATCGTTTCTTTTGGGAACAGCCGGGCTGGTCAGGATCATGGGGATTTCTTCGGTCTGGGCTTTATCAAAGACTGTTGAGTTTGGATTGTGAATGCCTTTGCCTTTTGAGATTCTAATAATAATAATAATAATAATAATAATAATAATAATAATAATAATGTATTTGTACCCATCCTTTAGCAACATGGTCTCCTCTAAGAGGCTTGAAGCCAAACTACTTAATTTAAGCTCATCCAGGCACCCATGACATCATGCCAAACACACCTGGACTTCAAGATCTTCCCACAGCTTCTGTGAGAATATTTAGTTTGTCTGTATCTTACTCCCTCCATTCTCAGAAGTAATCTATTTTCCTGGGAAAACTCCCCATCAGTCCTAGGACTTTCAATATCCCCTGTTGCCTGGGAATAAATAATAAATAATAATAAAACTTTATTTGTACCCCGCTACCATCTCCCCAAGGGACTTACATGAGGCTTACATGAGGCCGAGCCCACAGCACATCAATAAACAAAAGCAAATAACTGGAAATGTGGCACTGAAGAGGGGACTTTCCACCAGATGTGGTGGTCTTGTGTAAAAGTGAAATCATTTTGGAAAATAATCCAAGAAGAATGCCAGAAGATACTGAAGAGAAGAATACCCCTAAAACCTGAATCCTATTTACTAGGACTAACAGATAACAAGTGGGATAAGGAGACAGATAAACTATTTATTTATCTCATCACAGCAGCCCGCATTCTACTGGCCAGAGTATGGAGACAAGCCATAATCCCCACAAAGGAGGAATGGATGGATGGATGGATGGAGAAAATAATGGACTTCATGAACATGGACCAGCTAACATATAGATTAGCATCCCTACGAAATACACCTATAAAAGCAACAGACTGGAACCCTGTTAAAGACTGGTTAAAGGAAAACAAGATAAAGATACTAATTTGAACTTAACTAATAGTAAGAGGAATAGGATTAATCATATGATAGACAAAACAAGAAAAAAAGGGAAGGAAAAAGGAAGAAAAGAGGAATGAAAGAAAGGTGAAAACACTGTTGCCTGCCAATGGGAAAGAAACAACGTCAAAAAGCTGTTTTAGAGAAATATTTGAAAGCCATACTAGAGAAGGGTGGAGGTCTCGAGAACGACAGTCTCGTTTGCATCTATATGTGTTTAGATAGTATATCTTTCTTTATGTGAGTGAATGTATAGGTGTGCGGGTGTGTGTATGCGTATGTTTATGTGTATATGTGGGTGTAGACATGTATATATAAGCATGTGTATATATCTGTGTATGTGTATATATATAGATAGATAGATAGATAGATAGATAGATAGATAGATAGATAGATAGTTTGGTTTTTTGTTCTATGTTCTTCTCTTCCTTTTATTGTCTATTTTTTCTTCTTCTTCACGCTCTTTCCTTTCTTCTTGTTATTCTTTTTCCGATTTATGACTTATAAACTAGACATGCGATTTTATCGTATATTTGTATACTTGAAAACTTAATAAAAATTATTTATAAAAAAATAAATAAACAAAAGCAGTAACAATAATCAATACAAAACAGTTAACATAAACTCAAACCCATTGTAGCCAGGATCAATGCACGGCCGAAAGAGGAAGAGGCGCATGCAACCCTCTCCAAGCGAAGGGCCGGGGGAAAGAGGCGCCTTGAGTGAGCGGCGGCATCTCCGCTACTTACGTGAGTCCCTTCTTGAGTGCTTCGTACACTTCGTCGAGTCGTTCCGGCTGGGGCACTTTGGGCGGAGGGGACTTGTGGGACATGGAGAACATCCTACTGACCCTGGAGCCAGACTTCCTGGAGACGGTCGGTGTGCTGAATGCAGGGAAATTCCTACCCCAAAAATCCCCACGGAAAGGAAGAGGTTAGGAACCTAGTAGGACAAGACCATACTCCATAACCTGGGGAACTGAGGAACGGCCTAGGACTCACTGTGCAGAGCAACCGTCACAAAACCATCAGGAGCAACGCTAAAAAGTATAGGAAAGGGCTCCAGGGGACATTTCTCTTTTTTAGCTATATACCAGGACTCGGAGCAATGGCTTCAAACTACAAGAAAGAGGATTCCACCTGAACATAACTTCCTGACTACGACAGCTGTTCAGCAGTGGAACTCTCTGCCATGGAGTGTGGTGGAGGCTCCTTCTTTGGAGGCTTTGAAACAGAGGCTGGATGGCCATCTATCAGGGGTGCTTTGAATGCAATTTTTTCCCAATTTGTTTTTTGTCTTTGTATGTTGTCTGTCAATTTTTACGAAAGCAGATCCATATTCATTATGTCCCAAACTTTCAAAAGCCAGTTTTCAATTGTTGGTATTTCGTTGGTTTTCCATAGCTGTGCCAACTTGATCCTAGCTGCTGTTATTAGATAAATGAAGATTCTGTTTGTGTTCTTTTCCATTTCAAAGTCTGTTAATCCTAGTAAGAAATATTCTGGTTTAAACTCAAAACTTGTCTGCAAAATTAATTCTATCTTTTTGAGTATCAACTGCCAGAAGGATCTGATTTTCTTGCACTTCCACCATTGGTGTGGTGCCTATGTTTTTCCTGCATTTCCAACATTTGGCACTAATTCTGCTTTCACTCTTAACCTGAGGCTACAAAAGACAGAGCTGACCAAGGAATCATAGAATCATAGAATCAAAGAGTTGGAAGAGACCTCATGGGCCATCCAGTCCAACCCCCTGCCAAGAAGCAGGAATATTGCATTCAAATCACCCTTGACAGATGGCCATCCAGCCTCTGTTTAAAAGCTTCCAAAGAAGGAGCCTCCACCACACTCCGGGGCAGAGAGTTCCACTGCTGAACGGCTCTCACAGTCAGGAAGTTCTTCCTCATGTTCAGATGGAATCTCCTTCTTGTAGTTTGAAGCCATTGTTCCATTGCGTCCTAGTCTCAAGGGAAGCAGAAAACAAGCTTGCTCCCTCCTCCTCCCTGTGGCTTCCTCTCACATATTTATACATGGCTATCATATCTCCTCTCAGCCTTCTCTTCTTCAGGCTAAACATGCCCAGCTCCTTAAGCCGCTCCTCATAGGGCTTGTTCTCCAGACCCTTGATCATTTTAGTCGCCCTCCTCTGGACACATTCCAGTTGTCAATATCTCTCTTGAATTGTGGTGCCCAGAATTGGACACAATATTCCAGGTGTGGTCTAACCAAAGCGGAATAGAGGGGTAGCATTACTTCCCTAGATCTAGACACTATGATCCTATTGATGCAGGCCAAAATCCCATTGGCTTTTTTTGCCGCCACATCACATTGTTGGCTCATGTTTAACTTGTTGTCCACGAGGACTCCAAGATCTTTATCACACGTACTGCTCTCGAGCCAGGCGTCCCCCATTCTGTATCTTTGCATTTCGTTTTTTCTGCCAAAGTGGAGTATCTTGCATTTGTCCCTGTTGAACTTCATTTTGTTAGTTTCGTCCCATCATCTCTCTAATCTGTCAAGATCCCTTTGAATTCTGCTCCTGTCCTCTGGACTATTGGCTATCCCTCCCAATTTGGTGTCGTCTGCAAACTTGATGATCATGCCTTCTAGCCCTTCATCTAAGTCATTAATAAAGATGTTGAACAGGACCGGGCCCAGGACGGAACCCTGAGGCACTCCACTTGTCACTTCTTTCCAAGATGAAGAGGAAGCATTAGTGAGCACTCTCTGTGTTCGTCCACTTAACCAATTCCAGATCCACCTCACCGTAGTTTTGCCTAGCCCACCTTGGCCTAGTTTCCTTGCCAGAAGGTCATGGGGGACCTTGTCAAAGAAGGCCTTCCTGAAATCCAGACACGCTCCATCCACGGCATCATTCCCCGCATCTACCCAGCTTGTAGCTCTATCGAAGAAAGAGATCAGATGAGTCTGGCATGACTTGTTTTTGACAGACTAATCTTCGTTTATGCATTCGTTTATCTCGGCATCTGCTTCCTCACATCCATGCACAACTTTCTCACCTCTTGAGAACCTCTCTTACATTTACACATCTCCCCTTATGAACCATCGAGGACTTTAAGATCGTCTGGGGAGGCCCTGCTCTCGATCCCGCCTTCATCACAAGTACGTTTGGCAGGGAGGAGAGACAGGGCCTTCTCTGTGGTGGCCCCTCGGCTATGGAACACCCTCCCTGAGGATATTAGATCGGCAGAGTAACTGGTTTAGGAAATGGAATCACTTGACAATCGAATTTGGACAATGTTTTTAACTAGGAGACGCTGATGATAATTGATGTTGGTTTTATTGTTTCTATTGTTTTTATTATGGTTTTATATTGCTTTAATGGTTAATCTGTATTTTGCTATTATGTGTACTGACTTGTTGTAAACCGCCTTGAGTTGCTGATAGGCTGAGAAAGGCGGTATACAATATAGTAAATAAATAATAAGATGCTTGAGGCTTTTAGAGATTACATTGTAACAAGATGCACAATGCAAAGTGTTACATTGTAACAAGAGAAAAACGTATAATATCACAAAGGACGACCGCCTCACCCGCCTCGTAGGAAACCTGCTACAAAACAGGAGCTTTTTTGTTGAGTTCCAGGGCCAGAGAAGCAGATGGCGGAAACAGAAGAACGGCCTGCCTCAGGGGAGCGTGCTTGCCCCATCCATGTTCAACATCTACACAAATGACCAGCCACTGCCAGAAGGGACAGAGAGCTTCATCTATGCTGATGATCATGACATCACCACTCATGCAGGGAGCATTGAAATGGTTGAAGAGAAGCTCTCCGAAGCTGTAGGTGCTCTTCCTGCCTACTAAAAGGAAAACCAGCTGATTCCTAATCCATCTAAAACACAGACGTGTGCCTTTCACCTTAAGAACAGACAAGCATCCCGAGCTCTGAGGACTATTACCTGGGAAGGAAGGAATCCCACGGGAGCATTGCAGCGCACCCAAGTACCTGGGAGGAGTCACTCTGGACCGTGCTCTGACCTACAAGAAGCACTGCCTGGACATCAAGCAAAAAGTGGGCGCTAGAAACAATATCATACGAAAGCTGACTGGCACAACCTGGGGATCACAACCAGACACAGTGAAGACATCTGCCCTTGCGCTATGCTACTCGGCTGCTGAGTATGCATGCCCAGTGTGGAACACATCTCACCACACTAAAACAGTGGATGTGGCTCTTAATGAGACATGCCACATTATCACGGGGTGTCTGCGCCCTACACCATGGGAGAAATTACACTGTTTAGCCAGTATTGCACCACCTGACATCCGCCGGGAAGTAGCAGGCAGTAGTGTTTTATATGTTGTACACCGCCGTGAGTCGCCCTAGGGCTGAGAAGGGCGGTCTACAAATGTAGTAAATAAATAAATAAATAAATAAATAAATAGTGAAAGGACCAAGGCAGAGACATCTCCAGCCCATCCCCTGTTTGGGTATCAGCCAGCACGTCAATGACTTAAATCAAAAAATAGTTTTCTTAGATCTACACTCACTGGAACACCTCAGCAAGCAAGAGTCCAAAAGTGGCAGGCTCAATCCAGAACTTGATAATAAATGAGAGACTCCCCGCTGGGCGCACAGAGGACTGGGTGACTTGGAAGGCGCTGAACAGACTGCGCTCTGGCACCACGAGATGCAGAGCCAACCCCAAGAAATGGGGCCACAAAGTGGAGTCCACAACATGCGAGTGTGGAGAGGAGCAAACCACTGACCACCTGCTGCAATGCACCCTGAGCCCTGCCACATGCACCATGGAGGACCTTCTTGTGGCAACACCAGAGGCACTCCAGAGGCACTCCAAGGGGCCAGAGACTGGTCAAAGGACATTTAATAGAATACCAAGTCTGCAAACTTTGTGGTTTGTTTGTTTGTTTGCTTGCTTGCTTGCTTGTTAAAAAATGCAATCCAACTGTTTGCTCTGCTCCTGACACGATAAATAAATAACAAGATGCAAGCATGGTTTAGGCAGAGAGATTCCTCCTGCCAAAGTCAGGAAAAGTGGCCATGCCAAGGAATTGCGCTTCTGTGTCCTCGGCCATCTTGGAAGAAGTCATCCCTAATTTGAAAGTACAAACTGGAATTTTGATATGAATAATATAATAACAATGAAATATTATTGTGATTATGAATCCCTCTTCCTCCTTCTCCTTCTTGCAATCGGTTGTTGACTCCTAAAGAATGGGAGATCTTGCCAGACTGGTTCAGAGTGGGATGCCTTGTCCTTGATTGGCGTTGGCCCATGTTGCAATCCCATTGTATGAGCAGATAACCATCTAAGAGCCATCAGGAGACCTTAGGTCATGTTCATATCTGCTCGCTGAACACATCACTTCAAGCACGCGGGCCATCTCTTCACAGGACAGCACGAAGTCCACCTTTTTCTCGTCTAGATGTCTTTCGTACGCTCCAAACGGCAGCCCCAAACTTAGGAACAAGTTAAATGCAGGCGGAGGGTCAAGGCAAAGATCTTCCATGAGATTCCAGAAGAGAGATCCCAGAGAAGAAATCTTCCAACGGGATTCTAGGGAACTGTTTGTTGTTTGTTGCATGTGTTTTTGGTTTTATTTTGCTGTCATTTGTTGTTTGGGCTTGGCCTCATGTAAGCTGCACCGAATCCCCATTGGGGAGATGGTGGCGGGGTATAAATAATAATAATAATAATAATAATTTATTTATTTATTTATTTATTTACCTGACTTCTATACGGCTGTTCTCAGCCCGAAGGCGACTCACAGCGGTTCACAACAAATACGAACAGCAAAAATTCAGTGCTACAGTATAGAAACAGTTAACAACCTAACACATTACACAATTAATAAACAGTTACTACAATACCCATTCACTGTCGTCTCGTCATCAAAAACATGTTCCAGATTCGTCATCCATTGTTCCATTCCAGTGTTCATTAACCAATCATTGCACTCATTATTCGAACGCCTGCTCAAACAGCCAGGTCTTCACTTTCCTGCGGAATACCATTAGAGATGGTGCTAGCCTAATGTCGATAGGAATGGCGTTCCACAGCCGAGGAGCCACCACCGAGAAGGCCCTATCTCTCGTCTCCGCCGGCCGTGCTTGAGAAGCAGGCGGGATCGAGAGCAGGGTCTCCCCGGAAGATCTCAAAGTCCTGGTGGGTTCATAGGCAGAGATGCAGTCGGATAGGTAGCTTGGGCCGGAACCGTTTAGGGCTTTAAAGGCCAACGCCAGCACTTTGAATTCAGCCCGATAGCAGATCGGTAGCCAGTGGAGTTGGCGCAACAGGGGGGTCGTATGCTCCCTGTGCTCCGCTCCCGTTAACATCATGGCTGCCGAGCGTTGGACTAGTTGGAGCTTCCGAGCCGTCTTCAAAGGCAACCCCACATAGAGAGCGTTGCAGTAGTCTAAACGGGATGTAACCAGAGCGTGGACTACCGTGGCCAAGTTGTTGTTGTTATTATTATTATTATTATTATTATTATTATTATTATTCTGAAACTTCCTTCCTGGAGAGGTTAGACTTGCAGGCTCTTTTCTCTCTTTCCATAGACAATGGGTGACCTTTCTGTTTTGACAGGTCTTTGAGAATGGGTGTTGAAACCTCATCCTGACTAAACTGAAAGGGTCATTGAGTGAAATTTGCAAATGCTAAGCAAGGGGCTTTGAATGAAATCAACAGCAAAAGAGAAATATATCCTTTCTCTGTAGAAAAGGAACAACACGAAAGAAAATGTTTTAAGAAACAAGATGTGACATGTAGAGGTCATACAAATTCCAAGCCTACATAGGAAGTAGTTGTGTTGTGGTTAAGTCCAAAGGTTGTGGTTAAGCGCAGAGTCTGCAGGTACAACAAGGTACTTTCCATCAAAAGGTCAAGAGAGAGGGGCTGGAAAGAGAGTACTTTCCATGACCTATTACTTGAGTATAAAAGTCAGCAGAAACAGAGGTGGGATGCGGCAGTCTTTGAAAGCACAAACAGAAGTGTTTCTGTCCATCTCATGTTGATCAGCTTAATTAAATGGTGTCTTACATGAACCAATTGGACTCTGTGGATTTCTTCGAAAAGGGACCCCACACCCTAAACCCGTGATTCCTTTGCTTAGATGCCAATCCCCTTCCCCACCGGGAGGGATTCCCCTGGACCTACCTGAAAGACTTCTCCTGGGTAGAATTGACCCCAGCAAAGGATTGGCTTCTATTGATCCTGACCGCCAGGCTGCGTCGCTGGGGCCGCACCGAGAGGGACATCATCGAAGTCCACTGGGAGGGACCCCCTGCAAAGAAGACAGCCAGGTGAGGGCGAGCACGGCGGAATACGGCACCCGCGGGTGAAGGAATGGGGTCTTGGGGTCCAACACAGAAATACTGCATAGGCTCGAGTGTTAGCCCACCCAAAGAGAAGCCGAGGCACCGCATTTCAGCACAAAAAACTGGGAAAACGTATTGACTCAAGTATCAGCCAAGGGTGGGAAATGCAGCCGCTATGGGTCAATTTCAAAATAAACATAGATATCAATAGAATTACATTAATTGAGGCATCAATAGGCTAAATGTTTTTGAATATTTACATTAATTTGGACAGTCTTATCTTAAATTACTCTAAACTAAACCTTTACTCTAACCTTCTTCAGTGTAAATAAAGCAAATAAATAAATAAATAAATGTGCATACGTATCCTTCCAGTAAGAATAAAGTAGGTAAAATAATAAGTGTAATAATAATAATAATAATAATAAAGTTAAATAATAAATGTAATAATAATAATAATAATAATAATAATAATAGAGTAAAATAATGGAAATGTAATAACAGTAATAATAGAATAAAACAATAAATATAATAATAATAAATAAAGTTAATTAATAAATGTAATTATAAAGATAAGTAATAAATGTAATAAAAATAATAATAGAATAAAATAATAAATGCAATAATAATAATAATAATAATAGAGTAAAATAATGGAAATGTAATAATAACAGTAATAATAGAATAAAATAATAAATTTAATAATAATAAATAAAGTTAATTAATAAATGTAATAATAATAATAAAGATAAGTAATAAATGTAATAAAAATAATAATAGAATAAAATAATAAATGTAATAATAATAATAGAGTAAAATAATGGAAATGTAATAATAAGAGTAATAATAGAATAAAACAATAAATATAATAACAATAAATAAAGTTAATTAATAAATGTAATAATAATAATAAAGATAAGTAATAAATGTAATAAAAATAATAGAATAAAATAATAAATGCAATAATAATAATAATAATAGAGTAAAATAATGGAAATGTAATAATAACAGTAATAATAGAATAAAATAATAAATTTAATAATAATAAATAAAGTTAATTAATAAATGTAATAGTAATAATAAAGATAAGTAATAAATGTAATAAAAATAATAATAGAATAAAATAATAAATGTAATAATAATAATAAAGTGAAATAATAAATTTAATAATAATAATAATAATAATAGAGGAATATAATAAATATAATCATAATAATAGAGTAAAATAATAGAAATGTAATAACAGTAATAATAGAATAAAATAATAAATGTAATAAAAATAATAAATAAAGTAAAATAATAAAGTTAAATATAAATGTAATAAAAATAAAAATAATAAAGGAAAATGATAAATGTAATAATAATAATAAAGTAAAATAATACATGTAGTAAAATAATAATAGAATAAAATAATAAATGTAATAATAATAATAAAGTTAAATAATAAATGTAATAAAAATAACAATAGAGGAAAATAAATGTAATAATATTAATAATAACAACAACAACAGAGTAAAATGATAAATAACTTTGACTTGAGTATAAGCTGAGGGGGCTTTTTTCTGCCTTAAATAAGGGCTGAAAAACTCAGCTTATACTCGAGTATATACAGTACTTGGATATCAATGCAGAGTTGAGCTCCAGCATTCTTGAGTAAGCAAAAGTGAGATCACACAATTGTTGATTTTGTCATTTGGGAGTTGTAGTTGCTGGGATTTATAGTTCATTTAAATTCAAAGAGCATTCTGAACTCCACCAATGATGGAATTGAACCAAACTTGGCACACAGAACCCGCATGACAAACAGAAAACACTAGAATGGTTTGGTGGGGATTGACTTGAGTTTGGGAGTTGTAGTTCATCTACATCCAGAGAGCACTGTGGACTCAAACAATGATGGATCTGGACCAAACATGGCACGAATACTCAGTATGCCCAAATGTGAACACTGGTGAAATTTTGGGAAAACAGACCTTGACATTTGGGAGTTGTAGATGCTGGGATTTATAGTTCACCCATAATCAAAGAGCATTCTGAACCCCACCAATGATAGAATTGGGCCGAACTTCCTACAGAGAAACCCTACGAGCAACAGAAAATACTGGCGAAACGTCAGGAGAGAATGCCTCTAGACCATGGTCATAGAGCCTAAAAAAACCTACAACAACCCAGAAAAATCTGTGTTTTCTGATGGTATTTTGCGACCCCTCTGACACCCCTTCACGAGCCCTCTGGGGGTCGCGACCCCCAGGTTGAGAACCGCTGCTTTAAAAACAAAGAAGAGGAAAACGTAGAATATACACTCCAAAAGAACACACTCAGTTCCCATGTCACAATATCCATTCCCATCTATCATCTTTCTTTTCTTTTTTGTTGTGTCAGGAGCGACTTAAGAAGCTACAAGTCGCTTCTGGTGTGAGAGAATTGGCTGTCTGCAAGGATGTTTCTCAGGGGACGCCCAGATGATTTTTGATGTTTTTATCATCCTTGTGGGAGGCTTCTCTCATGTCCCCACATGAGGAGCTGGAGCTGATAGAGGGAGCTCATCCGCCTCCCCCTGGATTTGAACCTGCGACCTGTCAGTCTTCAGTCCTGCCGGCACAGGGGTTGAACTCCACCTGACTGCCCAGCAATACGAGCAGGAGACTAACGGGCAACCCGCCCGAAATGCCTGGGAAGAGTCCCTTGCCCTCCAAACTCCACCGACCTGAGCAGCAACCCATCCAAGAGGATCAGAGTCAGCTTCCAGCCATCAGGAGACGCAGCATTTCCTCTGCCACAAAGGATTGTGGCCACAATGCTCAACGTATTTATGGTGGAACCTGGTCCGCAACATTTCAGAAGGAAATAGCAGCCACTACCAGGGTCTTCCTTGGTCCACGAGAGGCAAGGCGCGGCGCGATTGAGGAGCCGGCCCTTCAACGGCAGACTTACCTCTTGATGTCCCAGTCCTGGTTTCTAAGGCAACGCTGGCCCAATTAAACTCATTAGGAAGGAGCTGTAATCCCAAGCCAGGCCCGGGCAGATTACCTTCTTTTTCTTCTCTGTTGGAGTCGTTTAATCAGATCACGGAGTGAGTCATGCCTTGCTGATGACATTGTCGTCTGTGTGCATTCAGAAGAAGACCTACAAGCCACTCTAAACACCTTCACAGAAGCATACGAGAAGCTCAGCCTGTCACTGAACATCGAGAAAACCAAAGTGCTCTTCCAGCAGTCACCAGCCAATCCCTCTCCAATGCCAGAGATACAGCTTAATGGTGTAACATTAGAAAATGTGGACCATTTCCGCTCCCTTGGCAGCCACCTCTCCACCAAAGTCAACATCGACACCGAAATACAACACCGCCTGAGCTCTGCAAGTGCAGCATTTTCCCGAATGAAGCAGAGAGTGTTTGAGGACCGGGACATCCGTAGGGATACCAAGGTGCTTGTTTATAGAGCTATTCCCCTCCCAACCCTGCTCTATGCCTGTGAGACGTGGACTGTCTACAGAAGTCAACATTGACACTGAAATATAACACCACCTGAGCTCTGCGAGTGCAGCATTTTTCCGAATGAAGCAGAGAGTGTTTGAGGACCGGGACATCCGTAGGGATACCAAGGTGCTTGTTTATAAAGCGATTGTCCTCCCAACCCTGTCTTGGCAGCCATCTCTCCACAAAAGTCAACATTGACACTGAAATATAACACCACCTGAGCTCTGCGAGTGCAGCATTTTCCCGAATGAAGCAGAGAGTGTTTGAGGACCGGGACATCCGTAGGGATACCAAGGTGCTTGTCTATAAAGCTATTGTCCTTCCAACCCTGCTCTATGCCTGCGAAACGTGGACTGTCTACAGACGTCACATGCAACTCCTGGAACGATTCCATCAGCGCTGCCTCTGGAAAATCCTGCAAATCTCTTGGGAAGACAGGCGGACAAACGTCAGCGTGCTGGAAGAAGCAAAGACCACCAGCATTGAAGCGATGGTCCTCCACATCAACTCCGCTGGACCGGCCACGTTGTCCGGATGCCTGACCACCGTCTCCCAAAGCAGTTGCTCTACTCTGAACTCAAGAACGGAAAACGGAATGTTGGTGGGCAGGAAAAGAGATTTAAAGATGGGCTCAAAGCCAACCTTAAAAACTCTGGCATAGACACTGAGAACTGGGAAGCCCTGGCCCTTGACTGCTCCAGCTGGAGGTCAGCTGTGACCATCAGTGCTGCAGAATTCGAGGCGGCACGAGTGGAGGGCGAAAGAGAGAAACGTGCCAGGAGGAAGGCGCGTCAAGCCAACCCCGACCGGGACCGCCTTCCACCTGGAAACCAATGCCTTCACTGTGGGAGAAGATGCGGGTCAAGAATAGGGCTCCACAGCCACCTACAAACCCACAAAAATAGTCATCAAGGAAGACCATCTTACTTGTCCAACGAGGGATCGCCTAAGTAAGTAAGTAAGTAAGCCACCCGCACCAACCTCAGCGAGGATTTATGGACGCAAGGCCCGAGCGACAAGGCAGCCAAGTCCGCGCACTGCTTGGGTGGCTCAGGAGGGAGGCGGTGGGAGATCTGACCGGCCAGCACACGCCCGGAGGCAAGGAACACGGGCAAGGAAGAAGAAAGAAAGAAGCAACCTCTTTGCGTGCAAGCGTTGAGGACGGATGGAATGGGGACATCGGCGCCCATGTAAGTGCCAGGCACGGGGACAAGAGGGGAAACACCCTTCTCTGGAATCTACCTGTGAAGGAAGACCACAAGGTCCTCGAGGTCTTGGAAGCTGTGCCTGGAGATCCAAAGCAATCTCCCTTGAGGGTCCTTGAGGTTTGGAAAAACACTCGGAATCCAGGACGCACTCCTTGTTCCGCAGCCAGGCTGTTTCCCAGGGTTCGTTCTCCCTCTTCCAGGGCCGGGTGCTGCTCTTGCATTCCTCGCATTGCAGAGATAACCGGCACCTGGTACTGCCAACAGCGGAGGTGCGAGTTCGTGAGGTGCCGCTGGCAGGCAGGCAGGCAGGTGAGCAAACCCAACAGGAAAACCACCTACGACAGAGGTTTCTTCGGGAGGAACTGAGATGGGAATGCCCCTAGAATCATAGAATCATAGAATCCTAGAATCAAAGAGTTGGAAGAGACCTCATGGGCCATCATCCAGTCCAACCCCATTCTGCCAAGAAGCAGGAATATTGCATTCAAAGCACCCCTGACAGATGGCCATCCAGCCTCTGTTTAAAAGCTTCCAAAGAAGGAGCCTCCACCACACTCCGGGGCAGAGAGTTCCACTGCTGAACGACTCTCAAGGTCAGGAAGTTCTTACTCATGTTCAGATGGAATCTCCTCTCTTGTAGTTTGAAGCCATTGTTCCATTGCGTCCTAGTCTCCAAGGCAGCAGAAAACAAGCTTGCTCCCTCCTCCCTGTGGCTTCCTCTCACATATTTATACATGGCTATCATATCTCCTCTCAGCCTTCTCTTCTTCAGGCTAAACATGCCCAGCCCCTTAAGCCGCTCCTCATAGGGCTTGTTCTCCAGACCCTTGATCATTTTAGTCGCTCTCCTCTGGACACATTCCAGCTTGTCAATATCTCTCTTGAGTTGTGGTGCCCAGAATTGGACACAATATTCCAGGTGTGGTCTAACCAAAGCAGAATAGAGCATGGGGAGCAGGACTTCCCTAGATCTAGACCCTAGGCTCCTCTTGATGCAGGCCAAAATCCCATTGGCTTTTTTTGCCGCCACATCACATTGTTGTCCACGAGGACTCCCAAGACTCCAAGATCTTTTTCACATGTCCTGCTCTCGAGCCAGGCATTGTCCCCCATTCTGTCTCTTTGCATTTCATTTTTTCTGCCAAAGTGGAGTATCTTACATTTGTCACTGTCATTGAGCTAAACTGCTGCATTTCTGTCCTGCGTGGAAAATAATAACGCACGGTTCTGCATTGTGGGGGAGTAATTTAAAATTAATTAAATTTAAAAGGAGCCCCTGGTAGCACAGTGGGTTAAATCCCTGTGCCGGCAGGACTGCAGACTGACAGGTCGCAGGTTCAAAGAGCGTGGATGAGCTCCCTCTGTCAGCTCCAGCTCCCCATACGGGGACATGAGAGAAGCCTCCCACAAGGATGGTAAAACATCAAAACATCCAGGCAATGTCCCCTGGGCAACGTCCTTGCAGACGGCCAATTTTCTCACAACAGAAGCAACTTGCAGTTTCTCAAGTCACGCCTGACATGACAAAAACTAAAAATAAAACTAAAATTCACCTTTGTGAGTTTTGGTAGGCATGCATTGTGTGCTTAAGACTCTTCCCATTTCATAAAAGGCACTTTCAAGCAACTTGTACGTTAAGAGCAACAAAAATAAAACAAGCTGTAACCAAGAGGAAACAAGGGAACTGTTCCTTCAGAGAGAAAATGGTCTGGTTGTCCCAATTTCCTTTTCAATGGTCAGGATGGGCACACAAACTAGTCCAATGGGTTGTTGTAGGTGGTGCTTGCCATCTATTTGTTCTTGGCTTGGTGTTCAAATGATTACATCAGTGCAAAAACTGGGGCCACAAAGTGGAATCCATGACATGCGAGTGCGGAGAAGAGCACACCACAGACCACCTACCACAATGCAACCGGAGCCCTGCCACATGACGCACAAGGGAGGACCTTCTCACGGCAACATCAGAGACTCTCCAAGGGGCCAGAAACTGGCCAAAGGACATTGAATAGAATGCCAAGTTTGCAAACTTTGTGTGTGTGTGTGTGTGTGTTTTTAATGCAATACAACTGTTTTGGTTCACTCCTGACACAATAAATAAGTAAATAAATAAATCAGTGCAAAAACTAAGTGGAACTTTTTCAGCCAACCCCTCTCAAATGTATATTTTTGATATATAGTTTCAGAACAACATCCCAATAATCCGCAGAGATCCTGAAACTTTGGAAACACAGTAACGTTTTACGCAGTGTCGGAACCCAGAAGCCTTTAAAGAGCCAGTAATATGTCCAAAAGAAACAGTTTATTAAATCAAACAAAGGACTCAGAGACACTTACTTCAGTGCTTCTGGTCAAAACTGAAAAGCAGCGGCAAGTTTTAGCTCAAAGAACCAATTTAGAAAATAATTCGGATTAAACAGAGATATAATCCGGATTAAACTGGGTAGCGTCCAAAGTCACCCAAAAGAATGCAGTAGATAAGGAAGAAGCAAACAAAGGTCCGTGAAGCAAAAGTTGTCGTTAAAAGTAGTCCAAAGTCGAGTCCAAATTTGCAAGGTTCCAAAGTTCACGTAGGCAGCGTCCTCATCGACAAAAGCAATCCAAAGTCAAGGAAGGAGAAATCCACACTTACGAGAATCCAAGCCGGTAGGTAACACGAAGCAAAACAGCAACCTGTAGATCCAGAACCCAAACCCAACACGAACGTGGCAGCGACAAGACCCAAGGCACGAAACCAACACTTTGCCTTCTGCAAAGTTCTAATATTTTGGTGCTTACTTTTATCTACAATTCCTCACTCGATGCTGAGCTGCCCTCCACCCCGTCCTCATCACTTTCAGCTGGTTTAGCTTCTACAGCTGAACACCAACGCCCATCCCTCCAACTCTTCCATCACTTGTCAAGACTTAGGTTTCCCCATGTGTCCACAGTATCCCCAGGTTGCCAATCCCCACCACCAGAAAACCCCGCAAACGTGTCACTAGATGTTGGTTGAGTACAGATATCTCAAACCTCTTGAACCTTGGTCCAGTCCAATGACCCATCCTCCTCCTCGTCACTCCCAGACCCATTACTCCCAGTGAAACCCATGAAATCCTCCTCCTCTGTGGGAGCATTAAGTATATCCCGGATCTTTTTCCCGACTCTTGAGTAGACCTCTCAACTCCCCTGCTTACATCCTCCGAAACTCCTTCCTCCTCCTCCTCACTCATTTCACTTTCAGAAAACCCCTCGAAG